CCAACCAAGAAAGGGAACTACAGGCCAAGCTCCCTAATGAACATAGATGCAAAAATCCTCAATAAGACACTGGCAAACAGAATGCAGTAAATCACAAGGAAGATTATACCATGACAAAGTAGGTTTCATCCCAGGGATGTTAGGATGTTTCAATAAACAAAAATCAATAAATGTAATATATCATGTTAACAGAGCCAACGACAAAAACATACATTTATCTCTAGAGGCAGAAAACACATTTGACAAAGCCCAACACCCATTCACTATAAAAAGCCTACAGCAAATTAGAATAGATGGTCTTTACCTCAATCTGATAAAAGACATCTACCAGAAATCAACAGCCAATATCATACTAAATAGACAAAAACCAAAGGCTTTCACGCCAAAATCAGAAATGAAGATGTCCATTATTACCAGTCTTATTCAATATATACAGTTCAGGACATACTAGATGGAGCAATTAGATAAAAGAAAGAAAAGGAATAAGGAAGGAAGGGAAAAATACAGATGACATGATGTTCTGTTTAGAAAACCTCCAAAATTCCACCAAAACACTTCTAGGTTGAACAACCAAATTCAGTGACATATCTAGATACAAAGTCAACACTCAAAAATCAGTAACATTCATGGACACAAACAACACATGTACTGAGAGAAAAATCAAGCAAATAACACCTTTCACAATAGCATCCAAAAAATGAAATACTTTGGAATCCATCTGATGAAGGAAGTGAAGACCTTTACACTGAAAACTACAGTATTCTAAAAAAGGAGATTGAAGAGGGTATCAGAAAATGGAAAGATATCTTTTGCTCTTGGGTAGGAAGAACCAAGATAATAAAAATGGCCATATTCCTGAAACTGTTATACAGATTTAATGCAATACCAATCAAAATTTCAACAGCATATCTCACAGAACTAGAGAAAATAAATTCATTTGTAATGAGAAGAGATCTAGAATAGCAAAGGAAATTCTGGGCAACAAAGGCAATACCTACTTCAAGAACTTTTTTTTGGTACTGGGTACTGGAATCAAACTCAATAACTTGTGCCTGCCAGGCAAGTGCTTATCCTGCTGACCTAAATCCCTGGCCAAGAACCTGTATTTTAATAAGATGGAAAATGTAGAAGAAATGGACAGATCAACCAACAGAAACCAATCAGTAACAATCCCAGACTTAAAATCATGCTATAAAGCAAATGTGATAAAAAGAGCAAGGCACTGGCAACGAAAAAAAAAAGACTTGAGGATCAATGGAACAGATTAGAAAAAACTACACACATATTCAGCCTCCTTATCTTTGACAAAAGTACCAAACACCTTCACTGAAAGAAAGCCTGTTTAAGTGTACCCTGGGGAAGTAAAAGTGGAGGGAGAGTCTTAAAAAAGATGGCAGAAGATATTGTTAATAGTGTATCAGGATTTAAAACCCACATTACTCACACTACTCTGCTTAGATAGATTTTATTCTTTTTTTTTTTCTGATAGATTTTATTCTGTCCCAGTTTGTCTACTTGCATTAGATTTGAGAGCACAGACAGCTATCCCAAAACATCAGGATATAGCACAGTAATCATCTTTAATTTCCTATTATCTTACCTGGAGCCCTGTATGACTTACAGTTTTATCATGGCTGATCTTAGTTAAATCTGGTTTGTTTGATTGCTGTTTGGTATCAACAGATTTTATTCAAAACTGATAGTACCAAGTCTGAGAGTATAGGCAACTACACTGAAGATGACAAGACTCTATGATACACATTCTGGTTTGATAACTGCTGGTGTTTGAAGTTTTATACTATATACAAAGTTCTGTTTTTATTAATACTATTATGTACTGATATACTCAATTATACTATGTCTGATGATATAGACAATTCTACTGAAGATAACAAGAGACAACACAGGAACTATAGTAGAACTCCTTGTACAATGGTCTTATATGTCTTTTTCATTTCATGTGTTTATAGGAATATGTTTTGTTTTGTCTTGCTTTGTTTTGTTTTTCCCTCTAACATAGAAAGGATAGAAATACATGTTAAGACTCATGCATGTGTGGAATCTATAAACAGTTTATGAGAATTGATCTTATGACACATAATGAAATGAACAGATACTTTGAAGAAAAAGAGACACTAAAGTACCCAGTGCTGATCCTGGAGGGTCATAATGTGAAACCCAGCAATAGGATTGTTCTTTGTTCAGAGTGATATTAGACTGCTTGGATTTGTTCAATCTCAACATAATTGAAGATATGGGTAACTGCATGTATGTTTAAGTGCATAGGATTGATAACCATATTTCTAAGTTTTTGATGGATAGTTGAACAGAACTGCTTGCAGTCTCACTGCTTGAATCCCCACTTTATATGCTCCACTTTAGTATCTTGAATAACTATTTGTAAGAGGACAATGTGTAATCATCAACTAGTGATTTCTTACTGTTTATTTTTTTCTTTCAAAGTATGTATCATTGTTACCCATTTTTTGTTTTGTTTAGTCTTTCTTTAAATAAAATTTTTAAAAAAAGATACTACAGTACTTGGTGCTGATCCCAGAGTGTCATGATGTGAAATCCAGCAATATTATTATTCTTTGTTCAGAATGACTTTAGCCTGCTTTAGTTTGTGCAATCTCAACATAAATGAAGACATGGATAACTGCGTGTATGTTTAAGTGTATAGGATTGACAACCATATTACTAAGTTTTTGTTGGATAGCTGAACAAAACTGTTTGCAGTCTTGCTGTTTGAATTCCCATTTTATATGTTCCACTTTTGTATCTTGAACAACTATTTATAAAAGGACAGTATGTAAACATTAACTAGTGATTTCTTACTGTTTATTTTTTCTCTGAACGCATGTATTATTTCTACCCATTTTCTGTGTGTTTAGCCTTTCTTTAAATAAAATTTTTTTTAAAATTTTAAAAAAAAGAAAGAAAGCCTGTTTAATCAATAGTGCAAGAAAATCTCGCTTTCCACATGCCAAAAATTAACCATTCACTGAAGTAAATTCAAAATGGATCAAAGATCTAAATATTAAAACAGAAGTACTAAATCTACTAGGAGATATAACTGGTAGAACTCTTGAATAATGCCTTAGGCAAAGACTTCATTAACAAAACTAAAGTCACACAAGAACTATCACAAAGATCAATTACGTGGAATCTCTCTCATCTTATTAAAAAGCTTTTTCACAGCAAGAGAAATCACCAACAGAGTAAAGAGACAACCCACAGTGTGGGAAAAAAATTTGTCACTTGTTCCTTAAAGGACCTCTATCTAGAATATATAAAGAAAAAAAACCCAGACCCACCCAAATTTAAAGATCCAGTCACAAAATGAAGAAGTAGAAAGAGCACACAAATATATGAAAAAATGTCCAGCATCATTGGTCATTTGACAAATGCAAATTAAAACAATGCTGAGATGCCTCACTCCAGAAAGAATGGGTATTATCAAGAAATCAACCAGTAACAAATGCTTGCGGAGCTGTGGTGAGAAAGAACCTTCTCCTTTGCTGGTGAGAGTTTAGACTGCTACAATCACTTTTCCAAAATCTTTTTTTTTTCCCCCAGTAATAGAGACTGAGCCAGGGCCTTGAACATGTTAGGCAAGTGCTCTAACCCTGAGCTACTGGCCTGGTCCTTCTAATTTTTTTGTTTTGTACCAGGGATTAAATTCACAACCTCACACTTGCCAGTCAGGAGCTTATGCTGCTGAGCTAAGTCCCCAGGAAGTCCTTTTAATTTTGAAGGCAACATCTTAAAAGTAATTTCTCCTTGAAACAAAGTGGAAATAGGTGGCAGAAATTAAGGGAGACTTTCATTTTTTATCCCCCTTTGTGGTACTAAAGATTGAATCCAGGGCTTTGCTCATGTTAGGCAATTTCCCTTTTTGCATGTGAGGGCTACACAGCCCTTTTTAAAAGATCTTAGCTTGAGACAGGGTCTCATTCAATAGGCAAGACTGAGTAAGGACACAATCCTTCCACAGCTTCTGCAGTAGCTGGGATTACAGGCATAAACTTCTGGCTTAAAGGAGATTTTTGATTTTTTAATTTGGTAAGCTTTATCGGTTTTTTTTGACCCTGTAATTTTGATGGAAAAATACGGGGCTGGAGATTTAGCTCAGCGACATAAGCGCCTGCCTTGCAAGCAGGCAGTTGTGAGTTTGATCCCTGGTACCAATAAAAATGAAAAAGACAAAAAAAAAAAAAAAAAAGAAAAAAGAAAAGAAAAAGAAAAATAAGAACCTAGAGAAAATAGAAACATTTAAAAAATACAAATATTTAGTAATATTTGAGAAAATGAAAAAAGTTCTAAATTCAGAAGATACAGAAGGAAGTACTATGCTGGAGAGGTTTTCAGTTTGTAAAATTTGGTTTCAGCAGAGGAAATCTTTTGAAAAAGTAAGTCTTCTAAAGATATCCAGTACCTAAAAGACATGGGAGTTTTTTTGCTTGAATGGCAGTGAGGGCTAAGAAGCCTGCCCACTACATTCTTTCTCCAATATCTCAATTACATTAACCTAGAAATATCTGGCAAAAGAACAGCTCGCTGCTTAAAAACCAAAACCATGTCGCAAACATTCTCATCTTCTCTAATTTTGTACTTCTACCATTCTCTCAGCAATTAACTACATCTCATAACATTTTCATTTGTGTTTTCTGGAAATACCTTGTTATCGGCCAATTCTCTGACTACTTTACACCCCTCTAATACTTCAATGTTGAATAATTTAGTTTAACTCTCTTGAGCTTACAGATACAAAATGAGACTCAGAAAGATCCAGGTTAACTACTACTTTGCATTTAGGTAAACAATATGCTCCCAGATGAACACAGTTATTAATAAAAGTGCAAGTAACTTTCTTTTAAATATTACATGAAAATCCACTGCGTTAATGTTTTAGTGTTTGTTGTTAGACTCCAACATTTAGTGTACTCATGGCACATATTTATGTTAAATCAGAAGTTCTATAACTGCATTTTGAATACCTTATCAATGTACACAGGATAATCGCTTGAAACCAGATTCTGGCATCTTTCTCGGTTTCCAATCACCTTCCTGAATTCGAAAAGTCTAGTATGAAAAAGGAGAGAAAAATGAAAACAATTCACCTTTTATATACCTCCACTATATTTAAGTCATACAGATTAAATATTATCAAATTCAGTTCAGAAACCATATTAAAATTTAATTTTTATCAAACAAAAAATTAAAGGCACTGATACTGAAAATTAATTTTCTTAGGTCCAGATCCTATAGGCTATAGTGTATTTCTAGGTATTTATTTACTTTTTGAGACAGAGTCTCACTATGTAGTGCAGGCTTGCCTTGAACTTTTTATGTAGCCCAGGCTAACCTGGAATTTGCAGCAATCCTCCTGCCTCAGCCTCTCCAGTGCTGGGATTACAGGCATGGACCTTGCTGAATCTTTAAGTATTTATTTAGTTTTTTTTTTTTTTTTTTTAAAGTTTTTTGATAGAACCTTGCTATGTAATGTAGGCTGGCTTTGAACTATGTACCCCAGGCTGCTTCAAATTTATGGTGATCCTCTTGTTCAGTCTCTCGAGTGCTGGCATTACAGGGGTATGCCACCTTGCTTGGTTTTATTCCAGTTTTACAGTCATTATAAATCTGGGTTACCCGAGAAAAGTCAATGCCTGGAAATTAGTTTAATAATTACTGAAGTTAAAAAAATCTAATTTGTATTGTAACAGCAAATGCTTTCCTCGCCCCAGCTAGTATACTTCAGGTTCTTAGTTGCCCAGATAAGAGTTCCTCTTCCAGTTCCAACTGCCTCTCTGTGATGCACACTGTATAAAGCAATCCCCAATTAACAAGTCATCTACCTATATGTTTCCTGCTTGCTTATCCCATATAAGCCTTAGACCACCAAAGATCAGGGCCTGATATTCTGAGAATGACCCCAATCAATGTACATGATATAAAATGAATTTGCTTCCAAATCCTGGGTGTCATTTTGCTGTTTCTGCTTGCTGTTGCAGTATTTATTTAGGTTTTTTTTTTTTTTTTTTTTTGAGACAGGGTCTTGTTCTTGTTCGTGAACTCATTATGTAGCCTAGGCTGGCCTTGAATACAAGATGATCCTTCTGCCTCAGCCTCCGGAGTGCTGGGATTACAGGTGTGTGCCACTATACCCAGCTTATTTTGTCTTGCTGAGAGCTCTTTAATAGATGAATTACTTTTCACATGGTCCAGTTTTTGAAGTGATGAGCTAAAACTTGAGAAATAACTAAAAAGATAAAAGGAAGCAATTACATCTTTAAAATAACTTAAAGTTTAATATCCCAGTCAAAACTGGGCTTGGTGGTGCATGTCTATAATCTCAGCCTTAGGAGGCTGAAGCAGGAAGATTATTGCAAATTTGAGACCAATGTTGGCTATAAAGTGAGCTGAAGAGCAATCTGAACTGTACAGGGATAGCGTGTTTCAATAGGAAAAAAAATCATTTCTCAATCAAACATTCTGTATTTGAGAGGATAGGATTTTATAACTGCAATAAAACAAATTGTTAGAAAGTATTTAGAAAAAAAATAATTACCTTTTGAGGTGCTCTGGCCTTCCCCATCCTCTAATAAAAAGTTTGGTGAGGAGAAGTCTCCGGTAGAGAACGTCTAATTTGCTCACACCCATTAGTAGCAAACAGCATCTAGAAGCAAAATTTAAAATGACTTTAAATTTTTCTTTTCTTTTCTTTCTCTTTTTTCCCCCAAAGACTAGAACTTCATCCACATTTTGCAAGTACTCTACCAACTAAACTACATCTCCTGCCTAAAATGTTTTATATTTAATCAAGACAGAAAGACAATTTGCTTTTTCTTTGAATGTCAGTCAAAATAAAGATTGAGTAAATTCTTGAATTGTTTTGAAAATCAGATATATTTGTTAAAAAATATGTTTTATAACATAAAATAGCTAAGATATTATTAATTCTATTCTTGGAAAAGAACCGTTAATACTCACATGATTAGATCAATTTTCATGTCTACATCTGGTAATCTAAACAACTCCTTGAAGATAACAATATGCAGTATTACAAGATTTATTAAATTCTTATCTTGTTTTGAAAGTGTACATTGTTATTGTTTTGAGGTTTTTGTTGTCCTTATAGTTGTTATTTGTAAGTCTCATTTTTGTTTTTCTGCACTTTTTTCTCTTAATCATTTTTTGTATCTTTTAAAAATTTTATTTAAAAGAGTAAGATTAAACACAACAAAACATAAGAAAACAATGTAAGAGACATAAATTTCAAAGCAAGATAATCATAGATCTTCACTATCTATCATAGTGTTTGTTTTCTTCCAAATAGTTGTCCATATCTTCATATACAGAGAATTCATACAAAACAACACAGTATAAAACTGCTCCGAACAGAATACAGGAAGGTATTTTAGGTCTTCAAGACCAGACAATAGGGAAGTCAACAATGGCTGTCATAGTGTCTCTCATTCTTTTCAAAATAGCCGTTTCATACCTTCATGTATGTTGAAATTAAACAAAATAAAACAGGCTAAAATCACTCTGAACAAAGAATAATAGTATTGCTGGATTTCACATCATGATGCTACAGAATCAGCACTGGGTATTATAATCTCTCTTTTTCTTCAAAGTAGTTGTACATTTCATCATGTGTTATATAATCAGTTCTCATAAACTGTTCATAGGTTCTACGCATGCATGATTCTCTACATGTATTTCTATCCTTTCTGTATTAGAGGGAGAAACAAAGCCAAGACAAAATAAAACAAATTCCTATAAAAACATGAAATAAAAAAGTCATATAAAATCACAATACAAGGTGATCTACAATGGTTACTGTGTTGTCTCTTGTTATCTTCAATAGAATTGTCTATATCATCAGGCATAGTACAATTGAATATAAGGGTACATAACAATATTAATAAAAACAAAACATGTAGACAATGTAAACGTTCAAAAGCAGGTAATAATCAAACCAGAGTGGGTATCCTAGTGAATCTTGTCATCTTCAGTGTAGTTGCCTATACGGTCAAGACTTGATACTACCAATCATAACAGATCTGAATAAAATCCATCAATACAAAACAGCAATCTAACAAACCAGATTCAAATAAGATCAGTCATGATAAAATAGTGTAAGTTATACAGGGCTTCAGATTAAGTTAATAGGAAAGTAAGAATGATTACCATATTATATCACACTATTTTCAGGATAGCTGTCTGTGCCCTCAAATCTAGTACAAGTAGACAAACTGGAACAGAATATAATCCATCTAAATAGAGTGGTGTGAGTAATGTGGGTTTTAAATCCTGATACACTATTAACAATATCCTTTGCCTTCTTTTTTTAGACTATTCCTCCCCTTTCACTCCCACAGGGTGCACGGCGCATTTTGGGTCCCACCAACTCCCTCAGTTTTTAGATTGGGGGAGGGGCAACCTGCTATTTACTTAAGTGGTTCCAAACCTTCTCATTCCTGGACTTGATCTCAAGTTGTATTCCTTTACCTACAAAAGCCTCAAGGTTTTCCTTCGTTATAGCTGAGTAGTTCTCTACTGCACATAAGCATCTTGTCTTTCCAACCTATCTGCAGGTGCTGGTCAAGTTGCCCCTATTTCTCTCTGGTTCCCTGTCACACAGAGCACTGTTTCCTCATATTTGACTTTTGGTCCATAAACCCTTTTTCAGGTTAATTATATTTCCTATACAGAGCATTTCAGTGGACCCTACCTCCTGATCTACCTTGCCTTTTTTTTTTTTTAGTGTATCAAAGGCCATCTATGTTAGAGATTATAGCCAACCTTCTCTGCCTCATTTCTGCTATGCTATTTTTCTGCTACTAGTTGTCTACTTTTCTCCTTCATTCCACTGTCTGCCCCATTCATTGAGGCCTCTCTGCCATTATTCCTGAAATCCTGGTATTTATTTTCTCCTCTAGAATGTTCTTCAGTATTCTCTGGTTGGATTGGTGGTCACGATTTCCCCCAGTTCCTCTTTGTCATGTTTCTCCATTAACTTCTAAAGACAGTTTTTCAGGCTACACAGTCTGGGCTGGAGGTTATTTTTTTTCAGGGCTTAGAATACTTCACTCCGAGCTCTTCTTGATTTGATGGTCTGTGTCAAGAAGTCTGCCATGATTTTGATGGGTTTTCCTTTATAAGTGATCTGGTTCTTTTCTCTGACAGTTTTTAATATTTTGTTCTTATATTGAATTTCTGGGATCTTGACTATTGTATGTCTGGGTGTAGCTCTGTTTTGGTTATAAGTGGCTGGAGTTCTGTATGCCTCATACATCTGAATATCACTTCCTTTTCCTATGCTTGGGAAGTTTTCCTTAATGATTTCTGTGAATAGCCTTTGTATTTCCTTTGTTTTTACCCCTGCTTCTTCATTCACATTCTTTATTCTTAAGTTACAGATCCTCTTGTCATCTTCTAGCCTTTGTATTTTTTTTTTTTTTGGTCAGTATCAGGGATTGAACTCACGACCATGCACTTACAAGGCAGGCGCTTATGCCCCAGCCTCCTAGCCTTTGTATTGTTACTGCCTGTTTCCTTGTTATTTTTAAGAGATCTTCCTTTCATGATCATACATTGCAAACCTATCTTCAAGTTTTGATAGTCTGCCCTTAGTTTGTTTCAAGCAGTTTTGCTAGTTTTCAGTGGAGTTTTTAATTTCCTGGTAATCTCTTTGAATCTGCTTTCTAGGTTTTCTTTATATTCTTCATCGAACATTTCTCTCTTTTTCTTGTGTTCCTCCATTCTTCCATCTGTGTCTTGAGAGATGCATAGCATTTATTTTATTAATCTTCTTATATCTTGCCTTACTTGAATTAATATTTCAGTTTTAAGCTCATCTATGAAGTCGTGAAGATATGCCTTTATGTCCGCTGATGCGGTGTCTGAAACTGCATGTTTGCTGACCTCAATCTCTTCTGTATTTACTCAATATTATGTGATTTACTCAATAATATGTGAGTATTGAGTAAATACTCACAGGGTTGGGGACTGGGAGCTTTTTCTTACTTCTTTCTCTTGTCATGTTTTTGGTTTCCTCCTTACGGATGTATAGTGGAGGTCCCAGCGCCTTTCCTTGTTGGTTATTGTTCTTCTGAAGCCCACTGGCTAGGGATTTCTGCCCTCTCCAGTTTTCTGTTGGTCACTGAGGTGCAAGCAAGGGTGGTGTATGCTGGCCCCTCCCCTCCCGCCAGTCAACCTATAGGGGCCTTCCCCATGTTAGTGTGTGCCATGTGTATGACACTGGTTTGGGATGACTTACTGGGTCCTGGCCAGGGGTGTGACCCAGGCCAAGCAGTTCCCACCAATCTGCTCTGGGTAGAGAGTAACCAACTGAAGTCACTGCTATTCCTTGTTCATGCCCGTCCTGCCTGATTCCAACATGTGGTGCAGTTGGTCACCCCTTTCCCATTGGGAGGGTCTTATTCCAAGCACTCACTGCAGGTTAGTGCAGGTCCCTCACCAGCTCCGTTCTCCATTGGGCTTGCCAACCCCTGACTTCAGCATGACTATATAGATCTATAGATTATGAAAATATAGATTTGAGTATTAAATAATGTTATAGTACAGGGAACCAGTAATAATGTTGCTATTATTAATAGATACAACTTAAATTTGCAGAGAATCATAGAAGTGATTTATGTAATGCTTATACCTTAAGCTCATGTATATATATTCTTTTTTGAGAGAGGGCATGCAGTTTGCCATGCAGTTCAGACTGGTGTACTTTGTAACCCTGGCTGGTCTGGAGCTCACAGTAATCTTCTCACCTCAGCCTCCCTAGTGCTAGGACTACAGGCATACACCACCATTCCCAGCTTAATTTTTTTATATTAAAGAGAAAAAAGAAGCTAAAGATGCTGGATTGGTAAGCAGCAGGATACAGAGCCTCCCTGAGAGAGACAGCTCAGATGCTGGAATAAAACATTCTGGAGAGGTCTGGATAGGGGGAGATGGATCCTCTGGACCCAGGAAGAAACTAAAGGGAAAAGAGCTGGTCATAAACATGTAGTCCTGGGGCTACCATTAGAGCAGCTAAGGTAGTGGCCACAGCACTCTCGCCGGAGCGTCCCAAGCTCGCACTGTCGTGACTTGCCAGAGTCATAATCTATAGATCTACATAGTCTATTATTAACTCTTTACAACAAATAATGACATATTTGTTCCCTTCTTCCCATAAGTAATTACATAAGAAAATAGGTTTTTAAAATTTTATACTGAGGGAATTAAAAATTTTTAATATTAATGAAAGGAGTAATAGGCCTATTGATAAGAAGACTCCATTTTTTTCTTAGAAACTTGCTTAAATGGATCAATGGATTCAAAGTTAGTGCCTCTATCATGAAAGTCAGTGCAAATGTTTATCTGCAAAGACTAAACTTAGCTCACAGGTCACAGAAAAACAGGTAGGCTGGCCAAGAGTTTACTGACCTGAGTTATTAAATCAAATAGATCAGAAGCATGTCACAAATATCAAATGATGTCATTAATGCAAAGACATGACTATAAAGCACTGTTTATTAAACTAACAAATCTAAAACTTTTAAGTGTCCAAAAACATGTATATATACAATGGAAAACTGTTTTTAAAAGGAGAGAAATTCTAGCATATGCTACTATATGGACATACTGATGAATCTTGATACTATCATA